CACTCACCGCCAAGCTGCTGCTCATCCTTGGAATGACTTGGAGATTGGTACGTTAATCTTGTGATACATGAAATCTTGTAACATGTATCCTTGTCTTTATAGCCGTGTGATGTGAGTCAAAGCCATTCATGTCGCTGTGATCAATCATGTTTGTGTGGATGACTAAACGTTCATTCTTTGATGTGAGTGTTTGTTTATTGAATCTTTCTAGTGTCATCAAATCATGTAAACAGACTGATCGAGTTACTTCTCATGGCAGGAGTATAACTATGGAGAAGAGTTTGTTCTTCTAGTTACTTTTGCTAAGAACGCTTCCACCAAGAACATCAAAGATGCAATTGATTCTTTTGCACAGCTAGCTTCATCTCTTCCATCATTAATTGTCCAGTCCACACAAGGTACCTATGAAAAATGAAGAGGATCTTGTAGTCGAGGCAAAAGATAAATGTTGTGGCAAAAGAAATGCTTGATAAGAACATGTTTATATTTGGAGCTACTTATATTTGATAAGAAAATCTTAAATTTTTTTTTGTGAAGGTTTATAAACTTTTTGTTCATTTCATAAAATGTTTTGTATTTCATTTTTATGTTTGAATCTTTATAAGTTTCTGTTTTTAATTTATATGTTCCTATCTTTTATGTTTCTAATTTTTATCGAAATTTTTAAATATATGTTATAAATAATATTTACTTGTATTATCTTTTTCTTTTTACTTTCTAATATGTTTTATGTTAATTTATATAAGTTTTCAATTTTTAAATTATTCAATTAGTTTTAAATATTATTAATATGTTTAACAATATTTTATTATTATAAATACAAAAACCTAAAAGTTCAACCAATACTTGCCTATTTTTGTTTGGTTCTTAAAACACACTATTACATTATTAATATACTATAATTACCCTAAGATGCAACCTTGGGGTTATCCCTTTGCTCATGCTCTTACAATGGTTACTTTTTAAGCTGTTGAATAATTCAACTGTTGAATCACTACAATGGTATGTTGAAAAAAAAATGACATCGCCACAACATAGTTGAAAACTTTGAACACTGTTGAAAGCAAAAAAAAGTGGGTCTCACAGCGCCACATGGTAGATAATGAATGGATATGTTTTTTAGTTATATAATAATATTGGGAAAATTCCATAAAAATTCCCCATCTAATTTTAATTTGGAAGCTTAATACCCAATGTTATTTGATTGGAAATAACATGCATGGTTTATTAAATTTTGGTCTATTAATACATTAAATATATAAAAATTGTCGAATCGAATAAACCGTTTAATTGGATTGACGGAATCACTAAACCGAGGTTGACGAAATTACTAATCCTTAAACACACGGGTAATTTGGGGTTATCCAAAGACTGCATTGTCCTTCGCTATTATCCCAAATCGAATTGGGATCGATAAACCCTAAGTTTAGTGTAATTCCATTAACCCCAGTTTAGTGATTCCGTCAATCCGTTTACCGTTTGTTAAGCGGTTTCTTCGATTCGACAATTTCTATATACTTGATGTATTAATAGACAACAAATTAATAAACCATGCATTTTGTTTCCAACTAAATAACATTGGGTATTAAAATTCCAAATTAAAATTAGATGGGAAATTTTTATGGAATTTTCCCATTTAGATAAGGACATGTGTTCTGTTTTTATTGGATGCTGCTATTTTAGATATTTCTTATCCAACCCTATTATTTGAGATCAATTACAACATATAATATTTACTTTTTTATACTAAAATTCATCATTTTTCATACTCAATAAAAAAGAGACTTGTTTCACATGATTCAGACACACACAAAAAAACTATCTTTTCTTACTATATTTTTACTATCACACTTCATAAACACATGTTTATTTCCTTACCCTCTTTTAAAATAGAAACAAGAAAAATAAAAAAATAATTTTATAAATAATTTAATATTTACTTATTTTGATGATATTAACAGTGATTCATAATATGTAATCTCAAAACACATAAACATAAATCAAATGAAAAATATGAAATAGAAATGGTGGGGTAGGTGTTGTAAGTTTATTAAACAAAACCATTGTAAAGTATAAAAATTATGTAGGTGTTGAATTATGATGTGGAAGAGAGAGAAGATCATGTGGAGTGTTAAAAGTAAAAAGTTGGGTGTTGTAAACACCAAACCAATGTGGATAGTCCAATGGGGGTGTTGAAAAAATTCAACATGTTGAAAAAAAACAAATGGGACCATCGACGCCACATGTTATGCATTTATTGGTTGCACAATTTTTTTTATATTTTTATTTTTCTCCTAATAATTTAAAGTCAATTATTTTAATCTAAATAAATTTATTAATTTTAACTTTTTATATCAAAGATCATCATTTTTTATACTTTATAAATAGAAACTTGTTTCATTCAATTTGTACATAGAAAAGAAAAACGTATTTTATGGTAAAATGTTATTGGGAAAAATGTTATTTCAATCTCGAACTTACAAATTTTGGCCATTTTAATCCTCGATTTTCACTGTGGCCATTAAAATCATAGACTTCTCGTTGACGTTATTTTAAAATCACCATCTTCTGTTGATTGAAACAGATTGAACATGTCGTCAAATTAAATTCTCTAACAGAGGAGTTAACAACCGTTTAGGATCGTTAATCGTTTTCTATTGAGTCGAAAAATGAGAATCACAAGGGCAAGCGACGTCGTGCTGCCTTAAACAAAATGTCTAAACCCCCAAATCGACGTCGTTTGTCAATGCTCAATTTGTCTCAGTCAACGAAAAATCTATGATTTTAATGGCCATAGTGGAAGTCGAGTATTAAAATGGCCAAAATTTGTAAGTTCAGGATTTAAATAACATTTTTCCCAAATGGTAAAAGTGTAGAGTTTTGAATTTTATTAAACAAAACCATTGTAGAATGCAAAAGCTGAGTGGGTGTTGAATTATCATGTGGACGAAAGAGAAACTGATGTGGAAGAGAGATGAGATGATGTAGAGGGTGTTAAATGATAAAACCATTGTTGATAGTCTTAGAGCATCATTATCGTTGTATTCGTTCGGGCCTTCGGGCATTATTAATAGCCCAGATAATAAAAACAGTTTATTATTAAGCTCCATCCGCTTCTTCTCGAACAAGCGTTGGACTTCGATTCTTAGGCCACGTGGCGCGCTGGAAGAGGGTAAAATTAATGATTTTTGTAAACGTTTATTATTTTCTCTTTTGTCAAAAGAACGAAAAATCCCCAAATCGTTTTTTTTCCTCTTTCGAACCCTAGTTTCAGAGAGCATGTCAACGATTTGTATGTTTTCTCGGTATGATCTTTTGTTTGGGAGTCCCTTCTGAGGAGAATGTTGGTGATGTTTGTATGTTTTCTACAGGATTTGTATGTTTTCTCGGCATTAAGGTTTGATAGAGGATTTGTATGTTTTCTCGGTATGATCTTTTGTTTGGGAGTCCCTTCTGAGTTGTATTTCCAACTCGATGTAGGTTTACTGAGTTAACTTATAAGAAATATATGTTTAAGAAAGGATATGATAACCTTAATGCATTTGATAATTGTGTTTAGATGATCCTTAACTATTTTTTGTTTTCTTTGTTTGTGAGGATCGAAGTTTAGGATAGCCTGGATAACTCAAGCGGATTCATACAGCACATTTGACTCCTTCCTTAGAGGTATGTGACTCAATCGTTTTAGTTCATAGGTAATGTATTTCATGATCTTGAATGCGAGCTTGATGAACTGTAAAAGAGTTGTGAACTGAAGTATGTATTGAAGTATGGTGTCTTGGGATAAATTGTTGTTGTATATTGATCTGAATCCTTAGGTCAGATATCTGAACTTTGTTTATTATTGCTTTCAAGTAAACCGTCTGTGGAGCATTCTGAGCTTTGTTTATATAATAGCTTTCAACCCTGAAAGTGAACTATGCTTGCATAAATTGTCTTATATATAGAAGATCCATCTGATTGGTTGGTTAGTGAACTAAGAAATTGTCTTATATATATTGTTCTGACATAAGTAATTGCCTTTATAGTTTAGAATTAATCTAGTTACAAGAAAATAAAAATTTACACTCAAAACTTAACTATATTCTTTTTTCTTCACTGTAAAGAATTAGAAACCATTGTTAATGGTTGAGCACTATTTCCATAATGATATTTGAATGGTGATTTGATTGAAGTAGGTAATTCATTGTTTTAACTTTTCTGTAATAACTCTACAAAGGCTCGTTATGAACTTTGTTGTAATTAACTCCTTCCATCTACCTTCTGAAGCTCAGAGATTTGATCCTCTCTTTCTTATCTCTCTTGAATCATCTCTCCTAAACATCTCTCCAATATCATTTCACCTTCTGTTTTCCTTTTTCTTTAAACCAATCTTTCATCCTTCTGTTTTGCTTCTTCTTTAATCCTTCTGTTTTGATTCTTCTTTCACCTTCTGTTTTCCTTCTTCTTTCACCTTCTGTTTTGCTTCGACTTTGAGACATCTGTTTTGCTACTTCTTTCAACCTTTCTTTTTGCTTCTTCTTTTCATCCTTCTGTTTTGCTTCTTCTTTGACCTTCTGTTTTGCTTCTTCTTTGACCTTCTCTTTTGCTTCGACTTTGAGACATTTGTTTTGCTACTTCTTTCAACCTTTATTTTTGCTTCTTTTTAAACCAAACTTTCACAATGGATTCAAACAATCCGTATGGGGGTTCACCTGGATACTTTAGCTTAAACAATTTTCCTTATGAAAACTTCTCCCAAAATGTCAACTTTGGGTCTACTCCTCCCACCCAATTCCAACCTTTTAGCCAACAACCATCTCAAGGAAGCCAAAATCCTTCTCTTAACCAAAACCCTTCTCCTAGCCAAAACCCTTCTCAAACCACCCCAAATGCGTCTAGGGAGAGACGGCAGTGGAACACTTCTAATGATCTAGTGTTGATCAGTGGGTGGCTTAACACATCAAACGATGTGATTGTGGGCAATGACCAAAGGTCAGGCACCTTTTGGAAAAGGATTTCTGACTATTATGGAGCTAGTGAACATGTGTTGAATGGTGCAGAACCAAGACGGCCTGATCATTGCAAGCAAAGATGGGGAAGAATAAACAAAGAGGTCAGCCACTTATGTGGAGCTTATGGTACTGCTGAGGGGGGGAAATCAAGTGGCATGAATGATGTAGACGTTCTCAAGAATGCTCATACAATCTACATGTCACTTTACAAGAAAAAGTTTAGGCTTGAGCATGCATGGGTGGAGTTGAGACAGGAACATAAATGGTGTAGTCTAGGTGTCATGAACCCTAGTAGCAACACATCAAGCAAGAGAATGAGAAGTGAGGATGCTCCACCATCTTCTGGTTCAGTTGCAAATGAGCCAGAGAGCAGGGCTGAAGGTGTTAAGGCAATGAAAGGTAAAAGGTTTAGGGGAAAAGATAAAGCTGCACCTTCGAAAGACTATCCTCAGCTGTGGGAGAACAAACAAAAAGATAATGAGGCCAAGAAGGAACTCCAGAAGATGTCAATTCTTGACACTCTTTTAGCCAAGACCCAGCCATTGGATGAAGATGAACTTGCTCTGATGAACAACTTCATGGCTGAGCTTTTCTACGTAGCTAACATGTCTAACATGTCTAAGTCTAAGTATTATCAGTTGTCTGTGTACTGTTCTTGTTTAATAGCTATTCTAAGTATCTTCTGTGTAATGAATCAGATGTTGTGTTTATGTCTTTAATGAATATGTTGTGAAATATGTGTAATGAATCAGTTGTGTTTTTTGTGTAATGAATAATTGTGTTACTTCTGTGTAATGAATCAGATGTATCTTCAGTTTAATGAATCATACAAGTTTTATGTGTATTGAGTAATGACTCAGGTGAGCTATCTTTGTAATGATGGTGTTTTAGAAATTCTTGACAATCGGTAAACCAATTGTGATACCAGTGTTTCAAATGATGTTGTTTGTGATATACGGATCTGATCTCATGTTTCTTGTCTCAATTCATAACTCTTATCTGATGTATGATGATATGTGTTTTGATAGTATTGTATCTTCTGTGTAATGAATCAGTTGTGTTTTGTTTTTAATGAATCTGTTGTGAAATATGTGTAATAAATCAGTTGTGTTTTTTGTGTAATGAATTAGATGTATCTTCTGTTTAATGAATCAGACAAGTTTTATGTTTATTGTCCAAGTTGTGTAATGACTCTGTTGTGCTATCTGATATGTGTTTGGATAGTATTGTATTAGTTGTATGAATCAAAATGAGATCCGAGAAGGTGATAATTATCTTGTGTATTGAACTGTATTGCTAAGTCATTCTGTTTTGGTAAGTCACTATGTATTGCTAAGTCATTCTGTTTTGGTAAGTCACTCTGTATTGTTAAGTCATTATAGCTTACTGATTGTGTATTGCCTAGTGAATGTGAATTGGTGGTTTAATATGGTTGGTTTCTGGAATCATGTCTGCTTGGTTTAATCTTGTTGGTTTCTGGTCATCTTCCTGTCTACTTGATTTGAACTTGTTGGTTTCTGGAATCATGTCTGCTTGGTTTAATCTTGTTGGTTTCTGGTCATCTTCCTGTCTACTTGACTTGAACTTGTTGGTTTCTGGTATCATGTCTGCTTGGTTTAATCTTGTTGGTTTCTGGTAATCTTCCTGTCTACTTGGATGAAGATGAATGATGTTGTTTTACAAATTCTTTATAATGATGTTGTTTTACAAATTCTTGAAATCGGTTTTACAAATGTGATACTAGTGTTTCATATGATGCTGTTTGTGATACACGGATCTGATATGATGTTTCTTGTCTCAATTCATAACTATTATCTGATGTATGATGATATGTGTATGAGTTGTATGAATAAAAATGAGATCTGAGAAGGTGATAAGATGTTTACTTCATAATTGGTATAGACATTTATGGTTGATGTTCATATCTTCATTCTTACTTCTGTTAGTTTGTGTTCAGGTGAAGCAATCAATGGGGCAAGATTATTCTTACTCTTGGGATTCATCAGACGAGCAAAGTCACCACAACACAGAGGACACTGTAGAAATGGAGACTGAAGCATACATCTTGATGGATGAAGGTCATAGTGCATATAACATGGTGGATAGAACTGAACCAGAGATTGAGGTTGGCTTCCCCAACCTCTGTTATTGTGGTGGGCAGCCTCTACTGAAGACATCTTACACCCGAAATGATCCGGGGAGAAAGTATGTGTCTGTTTCTGATTTATGTTTCTAATTACATCTTACTTATGAGAGTTTCCAATAAATGAATGGTTTTGTGTTTCCCAGGTACTTCACTTGCGAGAATGTTGGTGATGGAGATATGCATCTCCAAAGTGGTGGGATGTGGCTGTGATGGAAGAGATGACTGAAAGGGCCAGCAGTGGACCTTAAAGAGATGAGAGAACAAGAGAGTAAAAGTGAGGAGAATGTTGTTAAGCTTCAGAAGCTAGTAGAGAAGTTGGGAGATGAGGCAGAGGAGTAGAGTAACATTAAGAATGGTTCTTGGTGTCAGCTTTTGTGTTTTGTCCCTTTTGATTTCAATGGTTTGTTTAAGTAGGATGTGAATTGTATTCTGGCAAAGAATTTTGAGACTTGTTTGATGCTCCCTTGTACTATAGATGGTAAGAACAGTTTTGTTGCAATGAATCGATAGTTATCACTTTATGAGTCACATGAATTTGTATTCTTCTGATAATTGAAAGTGAAGGAATCGATTATTGCAACTTTATGTGACTGTATATTTTTGTTCTTTCTTTGTTCACATGATTTACTAGTCCACTACATGGCCGAGTAACGAATCACATGTGTTTGTATGTTTCTGTCATGACATTCCTATATAATACGGGAATATTTTCAACACTTAATACAACACAATCTATTATCATTTTCTTATGGTCTACTCTCTCTCATTTCCTTTCTACTCTCTCTACTTTTTTAAAAAAATCAATTCAAGCCACAAACACAATCTATACTTTTTATATCGTTCTCTTCTCGTTCGTCCTCATCGACATTATATACTTTTTATAAACTTCTTCTTTACTATTTATTATGGCTTCCTCGTCAAACAATTTTCATTATCATTATAACTCTAATAATGATGATGATTTTGACAAATATTATCAAGACCTATTTGATAATCAAGTAGATGCGACATTGGAAGATATACCGCCGGAAAGAAAAAAACGGACGTATATCGAAAGAAATCGGGAAGAAGGCCACAAACGTTTGTGGAACGATTATTTTTCTGATAATCCTACTTACCCGGATAGGCTATTTCGAAGACGGTTTCGAATGAACAAACCATTGTTCCTCCGTATTGCCAATCGTCTCTCAGCAGAAGTTGAATATTTTCAACCAAAAAAAGATGCAACATTCCGAAATGGTATATCACCCCTCTAAAAATGTACTGCAGCAATTTGACTTTTAGCATACGAGGGTGGGGCAGACACTGTTGACGAATATATACGTCTTGGTCAAACCACGGCTCGTAAGTGTTTGAAAATTTTTGTCGTCGGAATTGTTGACTTGTTTGGCGATGAATACCTAAGGCGCCCTACAGAAGAAGATCTCGAAAGGCTACTTTATATTGGAGAACAACAGGGTTTTCCAGGGATGGTAGAGAGCATTGATTGTATGCATTGGGGGTGGAAAAATTGTCCAACCGCATGGAAAGGTATGTATTCTCGAGGAACCGGAAAGCCAACTATTGTTTTGGAGGCGGTTGCTTCACAAGATCTCTGGATATGGCACGCGTTTTTTGGAGCACCAGGTACTTGTAATGATTTAAATGTTCTTGATCAATCACCAGTATTTAATGACATTATACAAGGTCAAGCCCCTCAAGCAAACTACTATGTCAACGGAAGGGAGTATAACATGACTTACTATCTTACGGATGGTATTTATCCCGACTGGGCGACATTTATTCAATCCATCCGACTACCACAAACCCCGAAACATTATTTGTTTGCAAAACTTCAAGAATCTGCACGGAAAGATGTTGAGCGTGCATTTGGAGTCCTTCAAGCAAGATTCGCCATGGTTAAGAATCCATGTCTTCTCTGGGAAAAAGGAAAAATCGCTTATATTATCAGAGCATGTCTCATACTTCATAATATGATTGTTGAAGATGATCGACATTCATACACTCTCTTTGACGACCAAGAATTCGAAGAAGATGCCCCGGATATAACGTTTTCGAACAATAATGCTACAAATCTCGACGGTATAGGTGTTCGTCGCAGAAGAATATGTGATAAACAAGCACATCACCAATTAAAAGAGGATTTGATTGAGAATATATGGACGAAATTTGGACATCTTCCAAATGATTAAAAACGTTTATAAATTTTTTATCATCTGCATAAAATGTTAAGTGCTTTCATTTCTATTTTTGTATCTTTTTAAGTTTATGTTTTTAATTTTTAAGTTTGTATCTTTGATGTTTCTAATTTGTATCTTTTTTTTGTTATATATTTTTCTTTTTAATAATTATTAAATTAATTAATAAAATTATTAATAAGTTTTACATTATTTTATTATTATAAATTTAAGAACCTACAGGTTCAACCAATAACTATCTAATTTTGTTTGGTTCTTAAAATTAACTATTACATTATTAATATATTAAACATCCACTAAGATGCATCTTTGGGGTTATGCCCATAATGATGCTCTTACAATGGGGGTGTTGAATAAAAATTCAACAGTTGAACCCATACAATGGGGATGTTGAATAGGCTATTGAATCTATGTGGATTAAACGGTGTTGAAAACATTCAACATGTTAAAAAAAACAAGTGAGACCATCGACGCCACATGTTATGCATTTATTGGTTGCACAAGTTTTTGATATTTTTATTTTTCTCCTAATAATTTAAAGTCAATTACTTTAAACTAAATAAATTTATTAATTTTAACTTTATATATCAAAAATCATCATTTTTATACTCTATAGATAGAAACTTGTTTCATTTAATTTGGACATAGAAAAGAAAAACGTATTTAATGGTAAACTGTTAATAGTGTAGAGTGTTGAATTTTACCATTGTAGTATATAAAAGTTGAGTGGGTGTTGAATTATCATGTGGATGAAAGAGAAACTGATGTGGAAGAGATATGAGATGATGTGGAGGATGTTGAATGATAAAACCATTGTTGATAGTCAGAGCCGTCGCTAAAACTTAAGGGTCTACAAGCTGAATTTTTTTTTGGGCCACGTTATTAAAAATAAAAAGTGGAAAAAAACTAATATAAAACCAATTGTATATGTAGTCTTATAGGTTTGAACCTTGGAAAAGACAAATGCAACATTAATACTTAACCACTAGACTACGAGAACTTTGTAAAATTTAGGGTCAAAAAATGTATATAATTTTGAGGGCCACAATCTTAAGTTTCACCACCTTGGCTTCAGAGCCGGCTCTGTTGATAGTCTTACAATGACAAATTAGATATTAAAAGAAAATTAAGTAAGCCATTTTCGCATAATATTTTCCAAAAAAGCAAAGTGACTTTCCTTGGTATTACTTTTTAAAAAGTGACAAATTGTGCTATTATCTCTAAAAATCATGTCACCCTCGTCGTTTCAGCAGGTTTGTTTTTGGTGTGTTATGTTGGGTCTTGATTGGATTGTTTTTCGTTTAGTGGGCTTGTGGCTGGTAAACGCTTTTTAAATCTTTATTTTTATTGAAAATTTAAAGTAAAAAAATATATATATATATAGGGATTATTATACTCTATACCACTTTTATGTGGAAAAAAATTAAAAATGCCAGTTTGCTCTCGATCTTATTGGGAGTGCCATATCCAAAGAAAAAGTGAGGGAAGAATTGACCAAACTATCCTCTGGAAGAGAGAGCTAATTTTCGTGGGTTGTTTTAAAAAAATGAACCGATGGGACACTTTTTGGGCAGAACAGTGAGCACTAATTGGAGAGAGTAACATCTATTATCCAAAGGACAATCAATTTAGTGGGTGTTAAGATAATAAAGTAGATTTGAATTGCTAACAATGGAGGACAAGTGTGAGAGATGTTTTTTGGAAGTGTATGTTGTCTACATAGATCCGAATCAAGTCCATCGGATCTGGTCCACTAGTGTCATATGGAAGTGTATGTTGTCCATGGGATCGCATCTGGTCCATGGGATATATTACATCTAGTCCACGGGACATATTACAGACATCGCATCTGGTCCATAGGATCTAGTCCACGGGATATGGTTTACCGAATCTAATCCATTAGATCTGGTCCACTAGTGTCATCTGCTATGTTGTCTACATAGATCCTAAATAACAAATTTTGTCCATCAATAGATAGAAAATGGAAAGGACAAACGGTAGAGCTTCCAACAAAAATATAAATTGTCTGTATAGTTTACCTGGGCTGAGGAAGGTTGTCTACTGGACTAACTGATGGACATTTTTGTTCTGTAGATCCGATGGACAATCTGTAAAATGAATGTTAGAGGACAAGTTTAATTGGTGGACAGAAAAGAAGTGAGATCTGGTCTACTGAAAATAACTTATCCTTGTGTTGTTTGGAAAAAAAAAATCAATCGATGTTGAATAGAAACGAACAGTCACCTTGGGAGAAAGTGAAGCTTTATGTCTTTTCATTCAGCAGTATCAAAGTAAAAAATGAATTGAGTGAGAAGGGTAAAATCGTCTTCTCGTCATGGATGTGTGGCAAGAGGGAGAATGAATGGAAAAAAATGGCACTCCCCAAAATTTTATTTACTGTACATGTCATTCTGGGCAATTTTCTCTATATATAACATAGAAAAAAAGTTTTTTCTCTTCATGTTAAAAACCATTGGTTTTTAATTCTAAAACTGAAGGCAACGGAAAAAAAATTGACACAATGATATTTAAATTTTGCATTTTATATTAATAGACCTTATTGGGCATTCTCTATAAAATCTCCATCTAATCTATAGCATTTTTTTGCTTTTGCGCTTGTGTATTTTGCCAATTAAAAATAAAATCTTAAAAAAATGCTGAACCGGTCGATTGAAATAAGTAAATGAAGAATCAACGGTCAATCCATGTTTAATAATAGCCGTTAAGCAAACCCGTAATATCTTAAGAGAAAATTGTTGGCTTGCCCTGAACAGTAACAAAACTTCTAAATAATGCCATTTAAAGAAATCTCTTCTCCCGCCTGCCACAAGAGCTTTGTAAAAAGACCAACTTACCCCATTATCTATCTCTTCTTTTTCATCTTCATCTTCATCTTTTTTTTCTTATTCCAACAACACACAGTACCGACGGACGAGATCCGACGGACGAACTCCGACGGACCAGATCCGGCGGACCATAGCTAATTCCGGTGAACTATAACAAGCTCCGTAGACAAGTTTTGGCAGACCAGATGCGACGGACCAGTTCTGACAGAGCATAACTCCAGCAAACGAGTTCCGGCAGACCACAATCAGTTCCGGCAGACCACAGTCCGGCGGACAAATTCATGGGGACCAGATCCGGCAAACCAGTTCCGACAGACGATATCCGATGGACCAGATCTGATGAACCCGAATCGGTATACCAAACTTGTCTATACTACAGTTCTCTTGAAACCACAAATAATTGAGTAGAAGATGAAACAAGTGATGCATCTATGGAAGTATCCATCAACGATCTATCTAGGTGTACACTTTGGATCACACATTTGTGCGTAGATGAACTAGATCCGGTGAACTAGATCCGGTGAACCAGATCTGATGTCTGTAATATGTCCATTTTTGTTTCCTAATTTGTTGTCCATCATACGTGTAGAGTAAAGTATATCTAGTTTTTCATAAACGAACTTGTCCACAATACATATGTTAGATGAATAGAAAAGAAATTGTCCATAATCGAGTGTGAACAAAAATCAAAAAATGTCGACAAAATTTTTTTTGTCTATTGATTAATGTCCGTAAAAGTCAGCTTTTTTTGTCTTCCTTCTTTCCTATTTTTGCAAAACTCACTCAACACTCACTCAACAATACTGAGGGTAAAATCGTCCAAATTTCCCTCTTTGTGGCACATTTTGAAAGACATTATTGATAATGGCATTTCCACAATTTTGAGTTTCCAAAGTGGCATAATACATAAAATTCCCATATCTTAAGACGCTCCGAAATATATACTTTTGTCACAAAACAAAAAATCACTTTTTTTTTCTCTCTTCTTCCAAATTTTTTTTTTTTTCTCTCTTCTTGTTTTTTCCAAGTGAAGAAGAATGCTTCGAAGAACTAGGGGAAGGAGATTCATGTTAAGTAATCTTAAAGATAAGTAAGTATTTCAATTCCTCTATATCGCGAATCTATTAATTTAGGATTTACATAAGTTTTTGTGTAATTGTTCTTATATATGTTTGTATTGATCTAGGGTTTCCTGATTTTGTACAATGGCATGGGTTTGATTTGGTTTGGTTTCTTCCTTTGAATCCTCTCTTTGTGTTTTTTTTTTAAAAAAATTTAGGGTTTTTGGATTTACTAAATTGTTCTTGTGTTGTACAGATCTGTTTGGTTTGATTTGGCGTGAAACTAATACAATCGAATGGGTTCCTTCTCTGTTATTGTGATATGATTTGGTTACTTCCTCTGATCCTCCCTTCGTGTTTATTTTTTTTGGGTTTTTGAACTTAGTAATCGTTCTTGTGTTGTGTTTTACATATCTAGGGTTTTTTTTCTGTTTGGTTTGATTCAGCCTAAACTATTAGGGTTCCTTAATCCCTCCTTGTCTCCGCTTCATCAAGGTATCTCTCTGTCTTAACCGTTTATATTGTGTTTTTGGTTTTGTGAGTTTTTAAACAATCTTCATCAATGTTTTTGTTTGATTTAAGCAATTGACTTTGGTGTCATTGTGATGTTTGGAATCAAGATTGTTTTTGTTTTTGGTTTTGGTTTTGTTTTCTTGATCCAACATTAAAAATATTATTCACTTTGATAAGAATCCAGATCCTTTTTTTGGTTTTGGTTACTTGATATGCAGATTCTTAGTTTTGGAGCTTTTAAATTTTGATGTTTTTGTGTTCTTTCAAAACCCAAAAAAGATCAAGGGCAGATACTAATCTAATAGTGTTTTGTCAGATTCTATATTGGGGACATTGTCAACTGTTGGCTTGGTAGTGCATGTTGGGAATTGGAAATGAGGTTGCGATTTGTTGGATGATCCTACGACTTTATAAGTCTTAAGAGAAAAACATTGGAAGGGAATTGTTGGCTTGGTAGTGCATGCTTGTTGGGGAAAATTATAAGATAAAGAGTCAAATGACTTGAATGGGAATGAGCTAAGAAAAAAGACATGTACAAGAACTAAAGTGTTCTAATATTTTGGTACCCTTGGCTTGGAAAATCATAATGGGAAAGAGCCTTAAGACATTGGAAGGAAACTGTTGGCTTGATAGTGCATGCATGGGTGGGGAAATTTATAAGACAAAGAGTCAAATGACTTTGAATGGGAAATCATAATGGGAAAAAGCCTTTAAGACATTAAGACAAAAGACATTGGAAGGGAACTGTTGGCTTGGTAGTGCATGCATGTTGGAAAAAACTGTAAGATAAAGAGTCAAATGACTTTGATTGGGAATGGGCTAAAACAAAAAACATACAAGAACCAAAGTGTTCTAACATTTTGGTACCCTCGGCTTGGAAAATCATAATGGGAAAAACCTTAAGACATAACAAAAGACATACAAAAACCAAAGTGTTCTAATAGTTTGGTACCCCCAGCTTGCAAAATCATAATGGGAAAGAGCCTTAAGACATTAAGACAAAAGACATTGGAAGGGAACTGTTGGCTAGGTAGTGCATGCATGTTGGAAAAAAACTATAAGATAAAGAGTCAAATGACTCTAAAGGGGAATGAGCTAAGACAAAAGAAATACAAGAACCAAAGTGTTCTAACAGTTTGGTACCCTTGGCTTGGAAAATCATAATGGGAAAGAGCCTTAAGACATAAGACAAAGACGTTGGAAGGAACATGTTGGCTTGGTATAGTGCAGGCATGGTGGGAAAAATATTAAGACAAAAGACATACAAGCTCCAAAGTGTTCTAACAAGGTACCCTCGCTTGCAAAATCATAATGGGAATGAGCCTTAAGACATAAGACAAAAGACATTGGAAGGGAACTGTTGGCTAGGTAGTGCATGCATGTTGGGAAAAGTTATAAGATTAAGAGTCAAATTACTTTGAATGTGAAAGAGCTTTAAGACAAAAGACATACAAGAACCAAAGAGTTCTTAAAGCTTGGTACCCTCGACTTGCAAAATCATAATGGGAATGAGCCTGAAGACAAAAGACATTGGATGGGAACTATTGGCTTGGTAGTGCATGCATCTTAGCAAAAATTACAAGGTAAAGAGTCAAATGACTTTGAATGGGAAAGTGCTTTAAGACAAAACACATACAAGAAATAAAGAGTTCTCACAGTTTGGTACCCTCGGCTTGGAAAATCAATAATGGGAATGAGCCTTAAGACAAAAGACATAAAAGAGCCAAGGGTTCTCAAAGAGAGGCTTAGAAGAATCATAAGACAGAAGGTAAAAGATATGGTGGTGCATGCAAAGTAGAGTAAATAAGATCAGTTATAATTTGTTGGATGGTAAAAACGACCAGCAGAGTAAAAAATGGCTCAGAACGAGACATAAGGAGTCAAAAGACTATGGAAGGGAATGAAATTTAAGACAAAGAGAGAATAGAACCAAAGAGTTCTAAAAGAGGGGCTTAGAAAAATCATAAGCTTAAAGGTAAAAGACTTTGGATGGGTAGTGCATGCAAACTAAAGTAAAGAAGATCATTTGCGATTTGTTGGATGCTAAAAACGACCAGCAGAGTAAAGAAGTCTCGAAACCAAACAGTGAACTCAGAACTTATAGACCAACGACTTTAAAAAGTTGTAAGACAAAGAGACTTGACAAAGAATATGTAGCAGACTTGAGACCAAATAATATATACGAATGAGAGATTTACGTACAATGAAGACTAACAAACTCTGTTTTTTTTTTTTGCAGGTATATGCTTATGTTAAGACTTTGACTAGAGTTCAAGTAGCAAACTTCTTTGACAGATATATTTTTCAAACTTTTTTGTTTTTGTTTTTAATGCGCTTTTCAAACTTGTTAGTAATTAGTTCATACTATCATGTAATCACAAGTAATTTGTTTGTCTTAGTGTTTTTGTATCATCAGGTCTCTTACTCTATATACTATGGAGGAATCTTAGAGTCTCTTGTAGATATTTATTTTGGCATAAGTGCAACTTCTATAGAATTATGATTGTTGTTTCCTTGAATCTTGAAAGTATTTGTTTTGTGTTCTGCTCTAAATTTTTGTCAATTGTTTTAAACATTCTATAATTTTACTTTGGTTCTTTAAACATTACAATATGTGTCTTTGGTAGCATTTTATGAAATAGATGCATCTTGGGATTGCATATACTTGAATGGATTTACTTGAATCTTGAATGGATTTGTTTTTGTATTATGCTCTGAATTCTTGGTGATCAATTCAGACTTGTGAAGTGACATTCTCATACTTATGTATCATACACTGCATGTTTTAGATTCTACTACTTGTATTTTGTTGGCATGGTGTTTATTACACTATATAATGATTGAAATATTTATGTTGTTGCATTCGTAGTGTCTATTCTTTGGTCTGCTGCACCACTGTCGATACGTTCGCGCTCTTACCGAGTCGATGAAACTTGGAACGCTTTTAAATCATTTGGTGTAACTTCTGCAGATTATGATTGTAGTTTCCTTGAATCAAGAGTTTGTGTTATGCTCTAAACCTTTGTTGGTGATTGTTTTATACATGAGAATGGCATTCTAGAAGTACTTTACTTTGTCTCTTGGAACATTTCATTGTGTGCCTAAAATACTTGTAAATGATGTGTCCCAATTCGAACAAGCTAAGTCGAAGAAACTGGACATATGCACACAAGTAAATTCTACATATTCTACAAAATATACCTACTAATTTGGAAAACATTCTCTGCAATCACACACAAAAAAATTGATTTGGTTAAAAATAATTGAAAACAGTTTGGCCCATCACCAAGTGACGAAGATTAAAATCAAGTTAGTGTTTATCTTTATCCTGGTTTTATATGTTTTTTTTTTCCCATAAGTGTTTTACAATTCCACTTACACATCTCGACCCTTTCTAAACTTACAACCATGAATTATATCTAACCCATCCATTTTCTAGACAACAACAGTTTAAGTCCTGGTTTTATATGTTATCAAAATTTTCTAGCATTTTATGTTTTATTTCTTATGATATTACGTAATCTAGTGTATGTTTAATTTTATGATTAGCACATTAGAGTATTTAAGTATTAGGTTTTATGCTTAATTTAAAGAGAATATTTTTTGTATATATATATAGTATTATTAATATTTGTAATATCATATAAAAGTAAAATCAAATATATTTTTTTTTTTGGTAATAAAATTAAATATATTTTAATAAGTAGCTAAATGTATTTAAAATATATTAATAGAAAATTATATAACTTAAGATGAAAATACATTTAATTTTATTATTTGTAAAAAGTAAATTTCGAGATGAGTTAAGATGAAAATTACATTAAAAAAAAATTATAATTCGAGATTCTCAAATTTCTACAAAAAAAAAAGTTAATAATATATTGGTGAGAGAGATTCAATAGAGCACACAAATAGAGAGATTAAATTAAAATCTAAAGGCATAGGAGATCGGTTGATGATTCGCCTCGCTTCTCTTCAATCCTCCTCAAGAGCTTTCTCTCTTACTTCTCCTTTCGTGATTGAAAGCTTCAATTTTTATTTCTGGGTATCTTGCAGCAAAGTGGTTCCCTTCTGATTTCATTTCGTTGCTTTCAACCATTGCAATCGATTCTGAGTTCTGCAAGTCTGATACAAGTCTCTCTATGTTTGCTGTAAATGATTGGTTTTTGAGTTAGGCGTTAGATTTGATTGTAAAGGTCAGATTTTTTTCTGAGATTTGGGAATTAGGTGTATAGTTTGATGGCAGGAAATGGAATACCAACATTGGGTCGTGTAAAGGTTTGTGATTTAGCTCCTAGTGAAGGTTTACCTTCTGATTCATACAAGTTAGCAGTGAGTACATTGTCTCAGTCTCTAGCACAGTACTCTGCAGTCATTATTCAGTTTCCAACTAGTGATGGAGCTCTACTTAGATCTGGTCTTGATTCTGCTCGGCTCTATTTCCATCAGAGAGATTCATATCCAGCTTCTAATGATATGATCCATAGTAATGATTCGCGTGAATGGTGTAAGACCTCTGGTTACTATGCAGATCCTCAGTCTTGGCAAGAGTTTTACGAGTATAGACCTGGTTTGACTCCTGTTGAGGCTACTAATTCTATGGACTTCCCTCCTGCTGCTTTGCCTGATGTATTTGCTTTACTTGGAAAAGCTGCTCGTGTTGTTCTTGATGCTATTGGTTTTTATTTGAACTTGAGAAGTTGTCCGTTTACTGAGATTCTTGATAATGTTCCTTTGAGGAATAAGGAGATTTCGTCTTCTGTGTTATCGGTTTGTTGTTATGGTAGGCCGTCGTTTCATGGAGCACAGCATCATAATTTAACTGAAGACGAGCAGCTTATTTTGTATTCGGACCATGATCACCAGCTAGACAAGAGTCTGATCTCGTTTGTGAAATCAGATAAGGCAGGGTTGCACATCAGGGACATGCATGGGCAATGGGTTTTAGTTGATATGGATCTTGGTCCTCAAGAGGCTGTTGTATTCCCGGGGCTAGCTCTTTACCAGGCTACAGCGGGGTATGTGAGTCCTGCAGTGCATAGAACAGATATAAACAGTATGCAAGGAAGTATAGAAGGGAGGTTCTCGTTGACCTTCAAACTCATGCCAAAATCAATGACCAATCTGAGTTGCTCAGAGATGACAGCAGCAGGTCATGGTGTTGAAGCTCAGTTTCAGCTCCCTGTTTCAGTCGATGACTTCATGCAGAGACCTCACTCAAATGATGAACTCTTTAACAGACAGACTTTGCAAAGCTTCAGCGTCCCTCAATCCCAGGATGGTATATGAGTTTACGTTTTAGTCTTGTAGCTTAATTTCATCTTTATTCTTTCATAGCATTTTCGAAGAGGATTCAGATTGTAGAAAGTCGTAGTTCATAGTTCATGTGATGTTCAGTTACTCCTTATTTTGATCAACAGTAGGTCCTTCCTTATGGTACAGGGTCAATGAAACAGCTGAAAAAGCGGAGGAAGAACGATTCCAGATGCAAACCACTACCACCATCAAAGAGGCTGAGATTAGAGGCACAGAGAGTTCTGAAGGAACGAGTTCAGGAGATTGCAGACAAAAAAGGAATCAAGCTCAGATTCTGCAACCTCAAGGAGTGCGAGAACAACCACAATGTAATGAACAGCCCTTGTGCTAATATTAAAAGGGAGATTGGGTGGCCACACGGAGTTCCATTTGTTCATCCTCACGACCTCCCCAATAAAGCTAAAATCGGTTTCCTTGAGACATATGAACCAGGATGGTCTGAAACACATGACATGGAGCTGAGTCTTTCTGAAAACGCTCAGGGGAACCAACACGTGACTAACTGTAACCATTCTTTCACCCAATAACTCTTGGTACTTGCACTGAAACTTAATTCCGAGGTTACCAGTTCATATATTTTGATTGCAGGATATGAGACGATGAGCGTACCGGTTCTGGTCCCTTGTGTTACTTGACTGTTTCAGGTCAGTTTTCATCTATGGAACAGCAAGAGTAGATAAGCTCAAAACAGTTTATATGTTTAGAGAGCTTATGTTAATTTTTGTAAAGTCTCGCATGTGAGATGATAATGATGGAAGAGCTAGGATGATGATGTACTAGTCTCTCTTATGGTGTGTATGTATGGTGATTGGTTAAGGAATAAAGGTATCGATCTCTGTTTCTTAACAATGGAGATTTGTGAATTACTCTTATATGAATCATTGTACTACATCACTACATTGTGTCTTTGTTTAATATACAAGATCATAGCATAGACCAAAATTCTCATCTATGCACAAAACCATATCATATGGTATTATTCAGTGATTTTCATAAAAAATATTTGAGTTCTTTTGATTGGAAATCGACTGATAATTAATCTAGAATTAGGTTAGAGCTTGGTCAGTGTGTGTTCCATAACATGAAGAATCATCATCCTAAATCATACATTACATAAAGCCGGAACACAGTTTTGTCTAACTTTATCTAACAAATAAATTAAAGCATGTCCGAGCCTCCTGACTGTTGTTGGACCATCTTAGCGAGTAAGATACATCAACACCTCACGCCGAGAGCTGTGTAACGCATCAGAGCATTTTGTGGACAAACAAAATGAAACCTCACACCCTTGTTGTCTCATGCCTCATGGGAGCCGTAAAGAGAATCAACAAATTTCTCCTTCCAAAACTGTTACTTTCTTATCAGTTCCTTGGCGGTGACTGATCTTCAAAGGGAAGTTCAATTTGCATTGCATTCCCGTAAAAGTCTTCCAAGTTGTAGAAGGTCCTTTGTGGAGGTAAGAATAAATGGATCACCACATCACCTGTAAATATATCAATCCACATCAACTTTGACAACCACATGACATATCGAGTTGAGAGAGGCAAGACAGCAATGTAAAAAGAAACTCACCAAAATCCAACAATGTCCATGAATTTGGCTTTACATCTCCATTAGCAACTTTACCGTACTTCTTCTCAGCTAGATCTCTCATCCTCGATCTGCATTCCCGGTTAATAACGAGAAAAGTCAGTTTGCTGTAACTGAAATAGACACCAGTCAAAAAATATCCAAACAGTTCTCTCTACCCAATTGCATCTAACTGAGGCCGCGAAAACGCAGTGGCTATGATGAAAAACCGAGTCCAGTAAACAAGAGGCTTCACAAAGAGAACCTTAATATCTCCAGCTTTCACATCACTCGCAACTTTAGCCAATTCAACAGCAACTGCAACAAACATATAACAACAACATCAAAATCAATATTAATACTATTTCACATTCTTTCAATTGCTAAAGCCAATAGCTTACATGCTAAACTCTCTGCATCATCATCAACCTCAGCAGTTGGAGACTTAACATCATCACTCTTGAACACAACCTTGCCATATTTATTGAACAATTCATCGAACATCTCATCTGTATCTTCACTCACATTCTACACAAGACAATGTTTACAAAGTAAAAAACCAACACAACTTAACTCAGACAAATCCATAACTAGTAAAGGTTGAAACTTTGTAACTAGACCAACCAAAGTTGCAATCTTTCATCAAATTTAATAACTCAGACAAATCCATAACTAGTAAAGGTTGAAACTCTGAAACTAAACCAATCAAAGTTGCAATCTTTCATCAAATTTGTTAGCTCAAACAAATCCATAACTAGTAAAGGTTGAAACTTTGTAACTAAACCAATCAAAGTTGCAATCTTTCACCAATTTGTTAGCTCAGACAAATCCATAACTAGTAAAGGTTGAAACTTTGAAACTAAACCAATCAAAGTTGCAATCTTTCATCAATTTTTGTTAGCTTAGACAAATCCATAACTAGTAAAGGTTGAAACTTTGAAACTAAACCAATCAAAGTTACAATCTTTCATCAATTTTTGTTACCAAACAAACAAACAAACCTTGTAAAGTATCTTCCTTTGATATCACATTACAAATACAAAACCGAAGCAGAGGTTAGAGAATTTGAACGTACCGAGAGAAACCCATCTTCAGCTTCCTTCCCTACAGCAAATCTCCGTGAGTTACTGAGAGAAGAAGTCAAAATTTTGCCTCGGCAACAGCAATGATATGGTGACGGCGAAAGTGAGAATGAAGAAGAAGTCTTTCTGGGTATTTGAGAAGATGAAGCTGGTAATCGAAAATCTCCGGCAAGAAGAGCTCCGGCGACGGTGAGACCGGTGGAAGATGCCATTAAGTTGCGGCAAAGTTTCGAAAACTCTCTCTAGTCGTCGTCGAGAAGCGGATAAGATAATACTATAACCCAATAATAATCCTAAAACCCTTCGCTTCTCTCATAAAATATTAAGTTAAATAATTATATGATTAATTTTTATTAACATATTTATAAATAAAATAATGTGTTTTATTTTATCGAATTTGTCTTCATACAACGATGATTTAATAATAAAACTTAATTAGTTAAAAATATAAATTAGAAAATAAGATGACTTATTGAAAACGAACGTATATTATTTAATCGATACAAAAAAGATTTATGTACTAAAATATTATTAATAATTATGCCAACATTATTTCATTATTTTGAATATTAGACATATTTAAATAAGTTGATCAAATTACAATTATATAAAAAAGAATTATCATGCAATATTCCACTAGTTAAGTCAGAAATAACAATCAAAATACAGTAGTACAATCTTATATACCAAATAAAATTAATAAAAAATATATTTTAAAAATATTGTCCCGCGGTGTACCGTAGGTTAAAATCTAGTTGATTAGTATAATTAGTAATGTCAATGTCAACCATTTACAAAGTTATTTGGTGTTTGAGATTATTCATATGGAAATAGTAACAGTTCAAATTTCAGAGAAAATTAGGATTTACCCCGTGGTACACCACGGGTCCATAATTTAATATATTTGTTTGGTTGGTCATTTTTTTAGTTGATTTATATAGTCTAGTTTTATACGTGTTTATTTCATTTAATTTTACATACTTTTATGAATTTGTATTATAAGTAGATTCATAGATATATGTGGTCAACTCGCAGTACACCACGGAATAATTTTGTTGTAAAACAAATTATATTTTAACTTAACCCGTAAAAATATTTTATTATAGACAACATGTAAGAAAAATATAACCCTATTTATGTAAAGTCAAATCCGTCCAACCATATTTATGTACAATATTATTATATTTTAAAAAATTAGAGTTGAAATATTAATAATACTTTCAATTAAATGTTAGAATATTACGGCATTAGTAAGAGTTTCTATAATATTTTACACCTTTCTAAGAAATTTAAATTTATAATATTTTGAAACTTTTTAAAAATTTAGTTTTCTTAAATATATAACCGGATTAAACAGAATAAATCTTTTAATTTGGATGCCTAAGAAACCAAATTTCATGCTCATTTGTAGTTGGAAACATATTAGTCATATTTATAATGGTTTTGAACTCTTATATAAACATTTTCCCTTTATCAATTGAGTTATATACGTCCGTTTTCAAAAATTTAAATTGCAAAATGTGTGAAAAAATTGGTATTTTTATTATAATATTTTTTATGTAATAATATAAATGGAAAATAAATAAGATTATATAAATATATTGGAGAGAGATTCAAATTATTAGAGAGATATTTTAGGAAATTTTATTTGATGTAATAAATATTTATTTCCAATTTTGAGATTTGCTTGTGATTTAATTACAAAATTTACTTTAAGTTTTGTTATTTATTCAAATGGCAAGTGTTTGATTATGCAAATATTACAAAATAAAGGTTATAACCTAAATTAGATTTTAGTACAAAATGTACTTCAAAAATGTTAAGATAGATGTTACAAGTTACTTACATTTTCTAATAATTATTAGGCTTGACCCTGTGGACAACGTTGTTATTGAGTATGTCAAGATAGAATAGACAATTATGTTCTACTTTATATTTGGTCTATTCTATATTAACTAAGTTAGGATAGTATAGACCATTAGACTCGTCTATACATTGCGTTCTCCACATTCATTGGTTCACTCTTTCATTTTATCTCATATATTATATTCATTGCGTTCTCTTTTCCAAATCTCTACTTTAGGTACTTGAATAATAACTATTTGAGTGGAGGGATCCCTGCTCAACTCTCAAATCTGACAAACTTAGATATTGTGTAAGCATTTTACATTGCACAATAACTTGGAGTTTATTCTCCAAGTAATTTGTATCGGGAGGTCTCTGATCTTCATTTTGTTTGTTCTGCAGGTACCTATCCTACAACAAATTTATCGGAAACAGTATAAGAGAAATATTTAGATTGGAATGAGAATACTATAAACAGTATAAGAGAAATATTTAGATTGGAATGATCGAACGCTTGCCAAATACAATATTCAGTGTTACATTTAGATAATACATACAATTGCCAAGAAATGATAAGACTCAACAGTTACAAAACCGAAACTAGAGGATGATTTAGGGACAGAGGTAGAGAGATAAACACTCACTCTTCCTTTGGAGCAATAAATGTAGGCTCGTAAATACTCCGAGGCATTTGTCTGAACCTCGATAACGCCTTTACCCATCAAACCGTGCCAAAGAAGCGCGCTGGCCAAATTTTTCGAGATCAAGAGAGGTTTATGTTATGACTCACCAATAGTTTATTATGTTGGTTTAGGAATTATGGTTTCAGGTTTATGTACTTGCCTGTAGTAGTCTGCATTGGGAACAAACGTTTCCTTTTTCAAGCAGACCGTTAAAAACCTCCCACCAAAGCTTGTCTGCAGTATACTTTGGCGTTATGCTTTGAGGACATACCGAGCTGGACTAAGTTTATATTTTTCAACTATAGAACTATGAAAAGTGGGTTTTGATTGTGTGATTTGTGTCTTACCAGAAGCTGTTAATGAATGTCTCAGAAACCTTACGGCCACCACTGTTAAACGCTCCTCCAGCTTCTCCAACCCAAGCAGCAGCCTTAAGGTCCATTTTCTTGAATCGTTCGGTTTACATTTGCGAATGTTCCTGAAATCCCGCTCAAGTAATTTGGATCTAGTATCCTATTCACTAGCTTAGGATCATTCCCTGCGATATTTAGTTCAATTTAAAACTAAACGTTTGTGTAGGAATGCTACAAAGATTGACTTAAGTTTTCTTATACAGACCTGGACCAAGATTGTGTATATGATGAGTCATGACATCAAGAACACGCGAAGAAGCTCTGAGTACCATTTAGCATTTAGCTAGCGTCTACATATTACACAATTCCTCTAAACTAGTGTATTGACATAAAATTCACAGTGGGATCTCAAACACACAGAGTATCATATCACTTATTAATAGCTTCAACATCATCAAAACAAAGTCATCTTTGTCTTACATAAGTTATATAAGAAATTATTCGATATGATCTATATATATATATATAGTCATTTCCCTGAACGCGAGCATTTACATGTCAGTTTCTTCTTTTTACACGCAGCTCTACATGTGTAACAGAACTCGTGTTTGCAATGCCTGCCATGAACAAAAACAAAGATTATTAAAGTCAAATCTAGATGAAAAATATAAAACCTGAAAGCTCAATATGTCCAATATTACCATACCTGCAAGTCATTTGTATGCATCCGCCACCATGTTGAACGATGCTCTGACACTGTGGACACTTTTTCCATCCCTGTGTCTTCACAAAAGACTCCAAAAGCGCCGCGTCTGATTTCAGGTAAGACTCTGAGTTCTTGAACTCATCGCACGTCTTCTTGTGGTGCCATGGAACATGACACTTTTTGCAGAAAGACAAGCCGCACTCCTTGCACTTGCGTGCTTCTGACAACTGCCGAGGATTATTATTGCCTAAGTGGCTGTTGAGGTCGAGGTCCGACATCAAAAAGGAACAACAAGGGTTGGGACAATAGACTCTGTCTTTAACGGGGATGGCCTTCTCCTTCTTGCGTTGGATCATAATAGTAATAGCATTGTCATCAGCAAAACCTCTGCAATCCTCTGGTACAAGATCGTTCTCGCAATCTGGATAAGGGCAGATTGCTGTGTTCCCACGTAGGATTTGTTCAGATGAGAAAGGCTTCCTCATGCACGTAACGCAGATGCGGTGGAAGCAGCCTTGCACCTCAAACTTATCATTAGGTGAAACGTTACCGTAGCAGACTAGACAAGTCTCATGCTCTGTGTCTCCTTCAAACCAATTAGTTTGGGAAGATGTAGCATCTCTTGCTAGTTTCAAGTTGTTATTATCCATGGACATTAAAAACAAAATCTGTAGGAAAAACAAAACCAAAGTGGATCGGATGATACGAAATCGGAAACTAAGAAAACCCTAAACCTAGAATTATAACTTGAAACCTAAACCCACTTGAAGCCAAATCTTGAATCAAAGCTGAGACACGTTGATCGATTCAAGCAGAGGTGAGATTGGTTGTTACGCTGAAGAAGAAAAGTGATTCTCATTCATCTTAATCGATTCAACATGTACACGAAACTTTCTAATATAGGTAGAGAGTTTTAGTCACAATGACTAAACCGGGACTAAACCGGGACTAAACCGGGAATGAAATAGACCCGGTTGCAGAGCTTTTATTGAATATATCTGCTAGCTGTAGTTCTGTATTGACATGTAGAGTCTTTTGACAAGGGCACTGGTGACTGCATCTCTTACTTTTATGACAAGCTAATTCCAGATGTTTGGTTCTTTCATGAAAAAACAGCATTATTGGCAATATGAAAGAGGTGGAAGATGTTACATCTGTGGTATCCAAGGATCAAGAAGAGATTAATATACCAGAGATCAGTGAAGTGCCTAAGCCACAAGGTGCTACTTTGAGACGTCATTCGACTGGAACAATGGGTAAACCGCAGGTCCAGTCCCGTTGTTAAAAAGAAACAGAGAGTACTCTGAGTGGTTCCTCTGTTGTTAAAAAGGTTCCTGGCTTGAGAAATGAGAAGTCAAATACTGGGGAAGGTTTCAAGGGTCAGTGGCGCCGGAAGTTGTAAGGTTTCTGCTCCAAAGAATGTGGAGAAGGCAAAGACTTCCGACAATTAAGAGTGAAGATGTAAAAGAGAAGACTGTGTGTAATGTTGAATCTAGCAACAAAGATGTTGAGAGTGAGAAGAAAGAATCATCTGAGAACAAAGCCATGAGAAGTGGACATAAAAGCTTGACTACTCTCCTAAACGTGGTTCTAGTCCCACTAAGCCAGTACCGGTTTGATGACTAAGAAAAAAGAAACTGGTTCTGCAGACCTTGAAGCCGAGAAAAAGATTAGGCCTAAGAGGACAGGAGTAAAGATGACTCTAGCTCATCAGCTATCTTTCAAAAGAGGAAAGGTTCTTGAGCCGAAACCTGAAAATTCTTCTCCAAGATGAATCAAGTTCAGAAAAAGGGCTGTGCAGGAGTTGAAAACGCAAACCGAAGGACGTTGTTCTGAGGCATCCAAAAGTAGAAGGGAAGAAGAAGATGATTACATTGTTAAACAATGTGATTGAGGAGACAGTGAATAAGGTCACAAAGGTGAGAAAGAACAAAGTGAAAGCTCTTATTGGTGCTTTTGAAACTGTTATCTCTCTTCAGGACACTAAGACATCTCAAAAACCAGGTCGAAGCAAGGCCACCACATCTGCGTCTAAAGTTATATTAACATACAAGATTTTAAAACTTTAAGAACATATTTTAAGAGGAAGAGAGCAAGAGAGAGAGATAATTTTCTTGTTACTGTCCTCAAAATAGCAAAAGTGTTTATAACTTACTTTGACCATTACTGAATGTGAAGCTTTCAAGTTTTATCTTTGCATGTATTTCAACAATATTTCAAGAAGTATATATAGGGATCAATAATACTCGCTATATATAGACTAATCTCTTTTCTCGTGATTCAAAGAACTTGAGAGGGCATACCTTTGAAGAAGTCTGATCAGACTGTTGTCTATAGATCGCTGCAGCCATTTTATTGTTAGAGATCCATATTCATTGTCTGCAGCATCATGGCCAACAACAGTGAGCTCTAAGATTTTTATATCTCTGAACACCTTTCTCGGAAACACTTAAAGAAGGTTTTACCTGTGCGAAAAAGGCGCTGTACGGGTCAGTTAAAGCAGCTGAAGAAGTGTTGGTGCAGTCTCTGTTAGCCATAGGAGGGATCATCAATGGTGGAGGAGGAGGAGGAACTAAACCTCCATAAGCATTGCCACTGAAGAAGTGTTGGTGCAGTCTGAAACTGTTGCTGTTTTTGAAGAAAATAGTTTTTAATAAACTACCAAACAAATCCTCCACATTAGAAGAAAATAGTTTTTGATATAGGCATTTGGGCATGACATTAAAGGTAAACTCCATTTCATGCTGTAAGTGTTTTAACAAATTCGTTTTCGCATAAACAATTTTATTCAATATTTCTATGATCACAAATTTTTTTTTTAATTTGAATGAATCTTATATCTTTTATAACTTTTGCTTAATTATGATCTGTTTTTTCAGCAGTTTATTACGAAATACCTTTGGGAAAGTATTAAGTTGTGTGATTAATATTTTTCTTTAATAATAGATATAAGCAAATATTTGATTGAAAACTGGGACTTGCCTTAGCAAGAGAAGGTTTGATAAAGGCTTTATTTTGATTTTCACTGTCGTCATCTACTTTAGACACACAATATAATGAAATAACATGATGAGATAAATATGCATCCAGAGATCATTTGTGGTTTAGGGTGGAGAAGGGAGAAGAAAGTCATCTGTTGGCTAAAATTTTCAGGCGATGAAAATAGTAGTAGCTAATAGGCTTGACCAAAATCTAACCTTAATCGTATTTTTAACCGTAATTGTATAAAACGGTTAAAAATTATAACCGTTAACCGTAAAAATAAATCAGTCACGGTTATAAAAAATTAACCGTAACCGTATAAAATCGTTGGTTAACCGTACGGTTAAACCTTTAATAAAAATTATTTCATTAAAGCAATATTTTAGATGGTTAAATGTGTAAACTAGTAACTCTAATCAACTCCACTACTCATTTCCATAAATTAAATCAAAAATAATTTAATTTAGATATTTGTAATTATGGTTGATTAAGCAAAAATCATTACTATAAATATTTGAATCATATAATTACATATATTTCATATTATAAATAAACATTATTTGATATGGTAAGAAGATATAAAATTTTGCCTATAATATTATTTATATCATAATCATCAAATTACACTACAAGAAAAACGCTTATTTCCTACGGGCGGTAGCGTGAAAAAATGGTAGGAAACAGCTGTTTCTTACGATATTCCTACGAAAAAAATGATAGGAAATCGCCCGTAGGAAATCGTAAATGGTAAGATATTGGTAGGAAAATTTCCTACCAAAACCGCGCTGAAGGAACTTTTGTAGGTTTATTCGTAGGAATCACGAAGGGTATTTATGACCGTTTTCCTTCCTATTATTCGTAGGAAACGGTTTCCTTCTAATTTCCTACGAAATTATTCCTTCTAATTTCCTACGAAATCATTACTTCTAATTTCCTACGAAACTATTCCTTCTAATTTCCTACAAACTTTCCTTCACTTTTCATTCGATATTCCTTCAAAATTTTGTGGTAGGAAACACTAAATAAACAATTTATAAAATGGATTACTAATTTATATTTGCAGATTGTTGTTACTGCAACGATTTAAATCAATTACTAATTTTAAAAAATGAGAAAAAAATATGTAAGACGAAATTTACATACTTCCTTCTGCATCTAATCTGAATTTCGGGATTTGACCTTTACCGTTAGGTAAGACATGAAGATGAGGGCGGTTACATACCAGGGGTAAGTCTTGTCTCGACTTGATATTGTCTTTTGTCTTTCCTGGGACATTTAAAACAGTATTGATTAAGTTGTCGAAGAAATTCTTCTCAGTGTGCATGACATCAAGACAGTGTCTTAACAGGAGATCTTCCCAATACGGCAACTCGAAAAAAACACTATGCTTGTGCCAGTTCTGATACTCTCCATAACCATCAACTGGTACATGCCCATTTCCACCGCACTCTGTTGTTTTTTCTGCACCAAAATCCCTAAGTTGCGTTAAAACATTATAACCATCTACCTCAGGCGGTGGCGGGTCATTCACAACTCTATTCTTTGTGAACATCTTTTTGTTGCGGCGATAAGGATGCGATGAAGGGAGGAAGCGCCTATGACAGTCAAACCAACTTGTTTTTCTACCATGTCTTAACTGGAATGCATCAATGCTATCTTGACAATATGGACATGCTAATCTTCCATGTGTTGTCCATCCTGATAACATTCCGTAAGCAGGAAAATCGCTAATGGTCCACATCAGCACCGCTCGCATCGTAAAATTTTGTTGCCATGAGACATCATAAGCTTGAACTCCATGCTCCCATAAGACTTGTAACTCATGAATCAAAGGTTGTAAGAAGACGTCTAGGGATCTCTTTGGGTGTTCTGGACCAGGAACAAGTAAAGACAGAAATAGAAACTCTCGTTTCATGCACAACGATGGAGGCAGATTGTAAGGTGTGAGAATAACTAGCCACAGAGAATATTGTCGTCCATGCTTTCCAAAGGGGTTGAAACCATCTGTACAAAGTCCCATGTAGACGTTCCTACTTTCTTCTGCAAAACTTGGATACATTGTTTGAAAATGTTTCCATGCCTTAGGAGGGATGGGCAATCTGACCTTCAGGGTTTGAATGCTCGTGGTGCCATCTCATAGCTCCAGCTGTGCGGGGTTGTTGATATAGTCGCTTCAACCGATCTGCTATTGGTAAATACCACATACGCTTAAATGGCACTCGAGACCTTCCACCAGTATTTTGAAACCGCGGCTTCCCACAAAATCGACAAGCTATGTAGTTTGCGTCTGATTGCCAGTAAATCATACAGTTGTCGATGCAAACATCGATCATTTGATATGGCAAACCGAGACCAGCAACAAGCTTTTCAAATTCAGTATAAGAAGCTGGTGAGATGTTATCTTCGGGCAAGATTTCTTTTATGAAATCTGCCCAAGCATCTACACAATCTTCAGGTAAATTGTAATCTGTCTTTATATTCATCATTCTTGTTGCAGCAAATAAAGGAAAATGACCTTCCTTACAACCTTCATATAATTTACTCTTCGAACTATCTAGCATATCACAAAACTTTTTAGCTTCTACATTTGGTTCTTCTACGGCATTCTCAAGTTTTGAATAGGCATTCATATTTTCTCTATAAGCATCATGAACCATTTGAGTTGTACCTACCTCTTCTTCTCTAATCATATATTCTTCTACCCTCTCTGCTGCATTTCCACTAGAACTACCCACATCGAATGCATCTTTTTCCCCATGATAAAACCATGTTTTGTAACTTGACATTATCCCATCTCTATAGATATGACTCCAAACTAAATCCTTATCGATAAATTTTGTATTGTTACAACAAGGACAGGGACAAAACATCATACCACTTCTCAAGCAGCGTTCTTGATTCATAGCGACGTGCATGAATTCGGTAAGTCCAGCTGCATAATCCCTCGTCAGCATGCCGTTGGGATAAAATCTTTCTTTGTCTAACCATGACCGAAAATAGTTCATAGAAAATATTAAAAAGATTTCTCGTGAAATATGAAAAAATAATTTAGAAATATAAAAAAAAATCTCTGAACTTTCTTTAAAAAAGCCCTCACTCGTAAGTCGTAATAGAATATAGAGAAATGCGTGAAACTTGCTCGTTTGTGTGATTATCATAACAAACGTTCGACCCTTTATATAGCCACAAAAATCTCTGTTTCCTACCAAAATATTTACTGTTCCACCAACCACACTTATTTCTCAACTTGCGATGCATTATCAACTTACCACCCACTAGATTATCAACTTGTTATCATCTTGTCAACACCGACTAGTAACCTTCGAATTTCCTACACATTTATTTCCTCCCAATTTCCTACTACCTGTATTCCCTCCATATATCTTTGGTTTTCCTACGACGTTTCCTTCCATATTGATGGCGAAGGTATTTAGAAGGAAATTTTCCTACTAATTTCTCTCCGCGCGTTTTCCTTCTTTCTCCCTTCTTTATTCCTTCACGGTTTCTTACAAAACTATTAATTAAAAGAATTTGGTAGGAAATTTTCCTTCCACTTTCTGACACATATTCTCGTAGCAAATGTCTCTTACTTTTTCCTACCACACTCCATCTTCGTCATAAATGCAAAGTTTTACCGTAGGTAATTTTTCCTACCAATATATTTGAAGGAATTTTCGTAGGATTTCGACCTGTTTTCTTGTAGTGAAATAATCGTAACCGTATTTAACCGTAACCGGATTTAACCGTATACGGTAACCGTTGTAACCATATATATAAAGGTTAAGGTTATAGTTATAAAAAATTAATAACCATAACCGGTAGTTAGTAAACCGTAACCGTGATAACCGTAACCGTGGTCATGCCTAGTGACTAAGACGTACACAAGAGAGAGTTAGATCACAAGGTAAATGGTGACATAAAAACTTGGAGTATAGTAAAAATTGAAGGATATTAGAGCAAACGATATAAAGAGAGTAGCCACATGGTTATGATGAGAAAATGGTTGAGCATGCTAGGGCTGGGGCGGAGCCGAATATCCGGTCTTTTTAAGGATATTCGGATCTGTATCTGTATCCGGCGGATACGTAAGTTTGATATCGGGCTCCGGATCCGTTATCCCGGATATCCGGATTCCAGATATATATGTGTAACAAAATAAAATCAAAATATTTTGAATAGTATTGTCCAAATAACAATTCAAATCAAATTATTAATCCTACTTAAAGAAAAACAATTATTATTTAAGAAAAACAATTAGTATTAGAGTAATAAACTCATTAAGCGATTAAATTAATATTATGTAAAAAATCTAATTGTTTCGCGGTATACAGTGGGTTAAATCATATAATTAACAATAATACACTTGTACAACCTTAAATACTATATCAAGTGAGAAAAATCAAAAAATAAAGAGAAATTTTGACTAATATTTTTTCCTTAATACCCTTTTGCAAAAATACTCTGTTTTCCCCGATTTTCATTTTAACCTCTTTTTACACTATTACAATATGTTAAATTAACAATAAGAATTTTTTTAGGTTTTGGCTCTCTATTTTACATTTAGGATATAATTTTGAGAGGGTATGGTTTAGTATTTGGAGTTTTTTCTTTTGATCAAATGTATTTGGAGATTTATGTTTAGAAATTAGTCATTTTGTATATTGAAAAGGGTATTATTGAAAATGGACAACATGATAAGGTATTTTTGTAAAAAGTGTACATAAAAAAATTATTTTTGCAAATGTCCTGAAAATAAATACAACTAAAAGATTGAAAATTTTTAGTTACTAATAACTTATCCTGCAATGTAGCAGTCAAAATCTAGTTTCGAGTATTTATGTACGTCATGATCTATGTTACTAGGCTTTTAGCATATCTTGTGTATGTATACTTGGAAGAATTTGAAGTTGATGTGGGAAGGCCATCATTGCCCCCTCAATAGCCTAGTAGCCTAATCCTAAGGCCATGAATGGTAACAAGGGTGAGTGCGGTTTTCAACAAAATAATACAAAACCGCAAATAACCCACCAATCATGGTTTTTGTCAATTGTTTGCGTTTTTCTAAAATCTTTAAAATAATTCATTTGCGTTTTTCAAAATAGGGTGTTAACCCATGGACCGAGTTTGTTTCTCTAACTACCAATAATCCAGCGGATTGTTCAAAAACGCACTGGGTAAAACCTTTTTTATGAGAATTTTTGAGAAATACCCCTTTTGGTGTACCTCTTTTTAGAAATAAACCTTTTGGTGCACCAAAACCAGCTCTTCTACCCCCCCATAGGCACCTCCGATCGAATAACATGCTGTTGAGAGGACCATTCTTCAGCGTTGTTTAACGCTGTGGCGAGAAAAATATTATGATCATGTGCCTGTCCTGCAAAAATAACACCATTGCGAGCCTTCCAAATTTCCCATAGAATCCATGGCATCGCAAGCTTGTACTGCAAAGCGAGCTCATTACTCTCCATGAGGTTAAAAACATATGAGATGTTTCCAACAATGTCATCCGTGAACAAAAGTCCATGCAAAGAAGGAGAAATAGAATTCCAAACTTGACTGGCTAGAGAGCATCCAAATAAAACATGTGATATCGTTTCCTCCTCCATATTACAAACATGACAAAGGGAATGAACCGGCAGTCCATGTCTTTGTAAACGTTGTGACGCGGCTAACGCACCCGATAGCGCTCTCCACAAGAGCATTCAAATCTTAGGTTCAGTATGCAATCCCCAAACCCGCTCTTTAACCCTGTTCACTAAACTGTCGGACTCCGATGGTTGGTTCGATCTCTCATTCCCACGAGAAAGTAGCCAATGTCCACTTTTGACAGTGTAGTTACCATCTGCCGTAAATGCCCAAACGTGGCTATCCTTCAGATGTACAGCAAGTGGAAAGGAACAAATTCTACTAATATCTCTTGAAGGAAAAAGTTCATTCAGCCTAAGAACAGTCCAATCGCCTGCATCTGTTAAAAGAGAAGATACTTGTAGCCTCACATCAATGAATATCTCTTTATTACAGAGCCTTCTCGGAGGGTCATCCACTATCCATCTGTCAATCCATACAAAGGTGCTGCTTCCATCACCAATGGATCGCATGAGACCTTTTTCCAGCAGCTCCCTACCAAAAAGAATGCTACGCCAAGCATAAGAAGGCCGACGTCCCATTGTAGCCTCAAGAAAAGGTTTATCTGGAAAATAAACCTCTTTATAAAACCTCGCTAATAAAGAAGAGGGATCAGACACAAGTCTCCATGCTTGTTTAGCTAGAAGAGCTTGATTAAAACGGCCAATATCTCTGAAACCCAAGCCACCACACTTCTTTGATTGACACATTTTCTCCCATGAGACCCAATGCATTTTATGTTTACCTTCATGAGCATTCCACCAAAACTGACTCATAGCACTCCTTAGCTGTTTACATTGATGCTTAGACAGCTTAAAGCACAACATAGCATATACCGGTAATGCCATAGCTACAGATTTTAGAAGCACCTCCTTTCCCCCTAATGAAAGGGTCTTTTCAAACCAGCCACTTAGTCTTGACTTCAAGCGGTCATTAACATAATTCAGGAGATCTCTCTTTGAACCACTAAAACATTCAGGAAGGCCCAAATACTTTCCCGCTCCACCCTCTTGTTCAATACCAGAAAATAACCCCAAGAGCCGTCGCATATAAGGATCCAATCGCTTCCCAAAAGTTATCGAAGATTTCTGAAAATTAATCACTTGTCCTGAAGCTTTACCATATAAATCAAGGCACTATAAGAATGCATAACACTCCTTAAAGTTAGCTTGGCACAGAAACAAACTGTCGTCAGCAAAAAGCAAGTGTTGGATCGCTGGACAAGAAGAGGTAAGTTTCATTCCTGTTAACCGCCCCTCACACTCTGCTTTATTCATAATGTGCACTAATGCTTAAGCACAAAGGATAAACAAAAAAGGAGACAACGGATCTCCCTGACATAACCCTCTTTCTGGTTTAATAAAACCATAAGGAGTGCCATTAATAAGAACCGAATAGAAGACCGTAGTGACGCAGCTCATTATCCATTTAACCCATCGGATATCAAAACCAAGCCTGATCAATAATTCTTCCAAAAAAGACCACTCTACTCTATCGTATGCTTTAGACATGTCGGTCTTGATTGCCATAAACTCCACATCACACTGAGAATTCGAGTTTAACGCATGCACCAGCTCATGTGCTAGTAGAATTAATAAAAAAGAACAACAATCAATATACTATTAATTAACAGATATCTCTATGTTAAACAAGTTTTTTTAAAGTTTAAATTGTTATTTTTTACATAAGCTTTATTTTTAAATGTATCTTTCCGGAGAAAAAGTAACTTACTTCAAAAATAACAAAATAATAAGTTTTAATTTTTATGCTAAATAGGATTTTAAATTTAGAATTAGTTTAAAATTTTCAATATTCTCATAAATAATTTACTTTTTTAAATGAATCTTCTTCATATAAAGAATAACTTACATAGAAATAAGATTTTTTTCATTACTTATTTTGTCAATATATAAAATATTACTAATTATTAATATACTAAATTAAAGAATATACTAGTTATTGATAAAATAAAATAAAATCCGCATCGCAAATAGATTTTTCACCAATCAAACATTATTTTATACCGCTTATTATATAGCAACCGTATTGTCCCGCAAATATATTTGTCCCGCACGTACCGCAGTTGAACTGTACCGCACTATCAAATCGCTTGTCCCGCACAACCAAATCCGCTGTCACCATTCGGACCCTAAGTTGATCAATAAATTAAAAGCGAGTGGTTTAGTCAAATATTTTTGTGTTATTGACTACTTTATCAGTTTGTTCTAATCTTTAAGTAAAATATTTTTGTTTTTGTTTGACTCATAGTTTTGAGGGTTTATTTTTCATAATGTCTTTTCAATTTTACATAATCTATTTAATTATTTTTTGACTGAGTTTATGACATTCTTATATGTTTGATCACTTGTAGTCAATCTTCTAGAGATTTTTTCTATAAGTGTTATTCAAATCTTTAGCCATTTCCAGATATATTTCCAAAGATATGTTATTCAAATATTTAGTCATTTCCAGAATCTATTTTTATTTTTTACTTTTTAAAGTTTGTGCATGAATCTTTTTATATATATATATATATATATAGATTCGATGTAGGTCAAC